ACCAAATGAATTGAAATGTTATAAATATATGTTTGTTATTCAGATGGAAGATTCACAGAGCTATAAAACTGAAGTTTAATTTTTTTTTGTACCAATAGATGAACCTAGTTTGATTTAAACAGTGATTATTAAAGTTTTTCAGCTTTCTATACCTTATCTTTCTTCCATCCTTGACGCACTATTCGTCTGGAAAAATCATAAATTCAGGCAACTATAAGCTAGTTCTTATCCGCATCACGTTTGTATTTGTAAGTTTTTTTATCTATATAGAATTTGATCTCCAACTCCGAACAAAATTTTGCGCTTGATGATATATTTGGACATAATGAACAGTATTCAATGTTAAAAACCCTGTCAACGATACAACTTTTAAAGAAAAGCAAAAACGGACCTTCAGATCATCATTAATATGATCTGGTACAATGCAGAAGTGAGCATTCCCTGCTGACTGATCAAACCCGATGAATTCTCATTGTTATTTCTGGGAAATAATGCAAAATCTGTTCACAATTCTGTGTGTAAATAATGGCATAAAATTTAGTATGAAAAACAGTAGTTTTCTCTGAACTAAGCTTAAAGATATTAGTAGAATATATTTGCTGGCAAGGTTATTGACATAGAACGTACTGACTGCTGGTGTTCTTGTTTCCTGGCACCTGATCCCACCTCTGAGACCCATGTTTGCTCTGCTCTATTTTGTATTGTTTTATGGACTTTTACGGATACTGGTCGTTATCTCCATATGTTCATCCTTCTGATTGTTAATACCTTATCTTGTTTCGCAAAATGTTCGGATGTAATTCTTCTGTCGTCGTATTCATTTCTAGAGCCTGACGAAAAATGTGAACTAAATATTCCTACTTTTTTTGAAATGTAAGAAAATACTTTAAGCTAACACACATTGTCATATGTGTCAGTTAAACTAATTTGAAAATATTTCAAAGGTATGTGAAATAAATGTATGGGTTATTTAAGGAATCGCTGTTTTGTTGGGAGGCTATGTCAGGGCATCAGCGACAGTGGGAAACATGGGCGAAGCCCATTATGCTAAAATTTTCCCATGTTTCCTACTATCGTTGATGTCCCTCGCATAGTCTCCTACATACAGCCAGACAGTGATCCCTCATATTTTCATTTTTTTCTTGAAATAGCTATCTTAAAATGAATCGAAATACCGCCTAATTTAGTATAATAATTTGAAATGCATGAGGTTTTCCACGTTAATTTCCTTTGCCCCGTCCCATGACGTCAAATTTTACTATAAAAATATAGTCCCATAACAATGCCAAACAAATTTAATGATTGTTAAGTTACTGTTGTCAATTATCAACTTTATGAAATAAACAACAAGCGAATTTAAAATCATGATCATAGTATTCGTGTTATCTTTATTTATTTGCGAGGGCCGTTCAAAAATTACGCGGACTTGTTGCACAGAAAAAATAATTGACGACATAATCGGACAAAATGTCAAACATAATATAAAAGAATACTTAATAAATGGTCTTCAAAATTTCATATCAAAATGTAAATTGTTATACATTTTGAGTGATAATCAGAACATATCATTAATCACGCAGCAGCAAAATTTTCGACGTCACGGACATTATAAAAGAATATGAGCTTTCATTTTCTCAACATTTTCCCAAAAGTTAATTACGTCCAGTTTGAGTTACTTATTCTCTCTTTTAAACATCCATACACCATTTCTTGTCAAGTTTAAAATATATTAAACATGTAAGACATATTCTTTTTTGTTTTAAATACAAAGACTGCAGGTACTTATGAAATGTAGTGTGACAATGGATCACTCTCAATCACGTTCTTAACAGTCCGGATAAAGTATAAGTCACATTATTCAACGATGGGGTATACGATGAGAAACCGATGTTTTTTGATGAAAATGGCGTGGTTGCCGGCCGGGCACCACTAGTGATCGGACGGTGACTGAGTCTTTTTTGCGAATCGGTGGGGTCATCGGTAGGAAATAATTCGTAGTTAAAATTCAGCGATGTCTCCAACGATGCCTCACATCGCTCCTCATCGGCAACCCATCATTAACACATCTTTCAAGGATCGGCCGATGTATGGCCGAGCATCGTCCAATATCCGTTGAATCTGAGGTCATCGGGGGGTTTGAGTGGTGTTCAACAGATAACGACCGATCATCGGTCGATGTTCGACCAAACATTGGCCCGTAGTCGACCGATGTACGAACGATGTTCACCAAATGTATGAGGGATGTAATATACATCGGCCGATTATCCTGGAACATCGTTTTATGCTTAGCAATGCATCGCCGAACCTTTGTAACTCCGGCCGGCAACCAGGCCATTTTTCTCATAAAACGCATTGGTTGTCCATCGTATGCTCATCGCTGGATAATGTGACTGATACTTTAAGGACTACTGGGCCGATGTGGACCGATGTTGTGGCATCGTTAACACCACGGATTACTACCGATTACCACCGGTCTACGGCTACCGGCCGGGAAATGTGACCTAGGCATAAAGTGTTCGTCGATAAGAGTCGTCTCACCCTCCCGTATAGCATTTTTATAGAGGTATAACGGTCTAACATTCCAATTTGCTATTTGTAGACAAATGTCACTAATCGACTTTTACGAGAAGCACTGACTTCTACAGTTGACGTTTACTTGGACATTTAAACTTATATCATGTACGGAAGTACAGAATTGATAATGCATAAGAAAACCTTTCTTGTGGTCATGGGTATGGTGTTAGGGGCACTTACATGTGAAGACCGGGAGCTGAGAGTAGGGTCGTTGTCGTTTTCTTCCAGGACAACTTATATGTGCATTGAAATAACCGTTATTTCCGTTTAATTAAATGTTCAGCTAAATATTTATAATGTAAAGGAGCTACCGTACATAGCCCTAGTGTAAAAGTAAGTGTCAACTGTAAAAGTCAGCGCTCCTCGTAAAAGTCCAATACCCAAGTATACGACATCTTTTATTATGCACATTTTGAATCTATGTTGGCGATATCTCGAGCATTACACGTAATTTAACAAAAGTGTGGTGCTGTTTCACGGGAATCACATCGGGGAAAAAGCAATATATTTCTGTTAGTATTTCAAATATCACTTCATTACACGCCGTCACAATGTAAACTATTTTCAAATATATTACAGAAACAACAATACATGACAAAACCATATAGACACCCGAACAATATGAGCCCTCTGGCCTTTGACCTTCCGGATGATATTGCACCTTCGGTTTGATATTGAGTGGAACAAAGGTTTTAGCATGTATGAATCTCTATATACATTTAAATGTTATATAAATATTTCTTAGTGAAGTATATTCAGTGAATTTTAATCTGGTCCCTCAGTACTGGTGCATGGAAATTTTCATACTCTTTTGCACAGGCTCTTTTTTTCTGTAAAAATATCCCTCAATAGTATACTGTATGACTGTGTAATTTAAAAAGCGGGCATCATATTTTAACGGCTTTAGACAAGAATGCGCTTATTCATGAATACCGCTAAGAAATCATTCACATATACAAGACACTGAACGGACAAGTGTAGCGCTAATATATGATTAAACCAACAACTCCATACCCATTGATTACTCTAAATTTTGAATACACCAAATTATGTACAAGTACAGTATGAATTGAAATGATATGCCGACAAAGATTGTTTATGTACTTTTCTTAATACTTCTGCATTAAAATATGTCATAAAATAATTGTTAGTCGTATAAAATTTATAGATATATTTCAGTATAAATCAATAATAAGAAAAAAAAATCTGCTTAGGGAAATCAAACACAATTTGATCATAATTTTAAAAATCAATAACTAAGTATATAAGTAAAAAAAAATTTGTGTAATGTATTAAATTATACGTGTAAAAACATCATTTGTAAGAGAAACATTGTAATAAATGACAAATATATAACAATTATATCATGGTAATTGATGATATTGGCATTTCATCTTTAAACAATTGGACAAATAAATAAATACCAAATGGAATTTTTAATTAAGGTAGAGATTGATAGCTTGTCAACAAAAAAACTACCCATTGAATTTTTCTGAATTTTTTATATGTTTGTGTTGAGTCCTTGTTCTAAATCATATCAAAAATTCAAGGCAGGTCATCGGGCTAGTTTTAGAGAAATTTGACAATTTTAATATAGCCTTCATCAACCACCGAAGAGCTGAAAAAGCAGGGTAAAATAATATATGAATATGATATGAAAAGGGCTGCAAATTTTTTATTGCTATATCAATTATCATTTGTCTTATATGAATTCAAACATCTTTCTGTATGAATTAATATTTGACATCAATCTTAAATTTATCATGCATTGTAAGCGAAAAACAGAATTATATTTACCAAGATGCATGGTCAAATTAGGTTAAAATATTGCCTATTCATTGCACAAAGTCTCACACTTCTGCTTCCACTGTGAAAAAATTACCCATCAAATTTCTTTTTTTATTGCACTATTATAGTTAGTCTATAAGTGTCTTAAATTTTAGAAAAAAATCATACTACATAATGGGGTTTAAATTCAACCTGGAACAATTTTATTATCTTACACCCTACCCTACCCCCTTCCTTTAGAAGGATGCACTTTTGAAGAATATGGTGACTAAGAGGTATTATCAAGAATTTATCAAAATATTTCACAGAAAATGAGTAAATGCTTTGTAATATTCTTCTAAATTACATTTCATATCACAAAATCAATTTATACATGTACACCTAGACACATGTTGCCCTGGTTGACCTTTTTGCACTTATATTAAAAAAGATAAGAACTTTTCCTTATATCGTTCAAAGTGACTTTGATAGATAGAATTAATCAAAATATTTCAAAGAAAATGAGTAAAATTCCATGTAATATTCTTCTAAATTGCATTCTATATCACAGAAAACAATTTATACATGTACACTTGGACACATGTTGCCCTGCTTGACCTTTTTGCACTTATATTAAAAAAGATAAGAACTTTCCTTGATATCGTTCAAATTGACTTTGTAGATTTATTATACATATGATTATTAGATGAATTATCAATGACAATATGTTTTGACCAATTCTGTGCATAAGTAAACTGGTTTTATTATCTTCCTTTGACAACAATAGAATGATTAATTTCACTTTTCTTTTAACAATTCCATTTTTATTCCAAATACATGTACAACATAAATAAGAAAACCCAGTGATTAAGAAGTTTTGAACGCAGAATCAATCCACAGCATGTTATTCTTGTTTTAAAAATATTCAGATAAAAATGGGTTATGTATTACACTATTAAATGAAGACTGCCTGGTCATCAGTTGTCAGATATTAATACACTAAAGCATCACATGGTAAAAAGTGCGGGAAAATAGGATTATTTGTTTACCATTACATACATACAAAAATAGTGTAATAATTTACAAAAAAAGAACATACAATGTATTAGAGGTAATAATTTGTAACCTTAAAGTATAGATTTTGCAAACAGATTCATAAAAGTTAGAGGAATCCCACCATAAACTGTATATGATACTGTACAATTTTTAAACTCATGATGTAGTTCAACAAAATAAAGTGAATACATTCAGTACATGTACGGTAATAGGATAAACTTGCTATTTTGCTTTTTGTCTTATTGGCTAACAAAGATCAGTGTAAACATGTATGCATTTTTAATTGCCATCGTATGCAGCCAGGTGCGTCATGTTCAAGGATCCTGACAATTCCGTTGTTTTTATGTCAATACAACAAAGGTGTTCTTTCACAAGGTGATCTGCAGTTAGCAAAATTCATTCTGTATATTCAGATTTTGAAGCACGTCTTATGGTGTGATATGTCCGTTCCTCTCTACCGTCTCCTTCTGGTAGTTCTTTTTCTGAACAGAACAAAATATTTTAATACAAAAAGAATGAAAATACATGTTTTACTTCTTTCTTACACTGCAAACATAGTATGACTATGTCTATATGAATATAAGACACTTCTGAGATACCTTTTTTATATAATGTCATGAATTTTTTAAATTAAATGCATATTTAGCCGGTCTCATTAATCATGTTAGTCTGGGCACTTTTGCTCTTAAGGAAATTATCTGGATTAATGAATTGTCTTAATTAAACAAACTGGTATATAAGGATAAAGATCAAATATTTTAGTTTCTAAATGTAGGCCACACTATAAGGCCAAGACCATGGGGTTATATGTGGAATTAAAATACTTTCCGTTTACATCTTATTCCATTTTTTAAATTCAGTTTTGTCCCTATATACCTTATTGATATCCAATATTCTTTTGTAACACTGCAGATGACACTTGATTAGCCAAGGATCCTATATTTCCATGGGATCTGTAACATGATGAAAATAAAATAAAGTAAATAGCTTGATCTATTTAAAACAAATTGTAAAATTTAGGCCATACCAATAAAATTTTTTGTTCGTCGGACCTGCGCGCTCATATTTAAACAGAACTATACAAATAATATTAATTTAAAATCCCCACACCATGGGAATTATGTGCTGTTTTCTTTTCCATTTCCGCTCTATTTATCGTACTTTTAATCTACTTACTCTGCAAATCAGAAAAAATATAATTCTCCGCTCCTATTTTTTCATGCCCCACCTAAAAATTTTGCCTAAAATAAAGTAATAATATTATTATTTGACCGCTAGCCCGTTTGTACTTTTTTCATCAAATGTCCGACGAACAAGAAATTAAATTGGTGTGGCCTCATTAACAATTTTGATTTATTTTGCAAATTTAGCTATGATAATGTGAAGAGGTCAATATTGTTAAAAAACCATGTCACTTACAAGTTTTTTTAACAATACTGACTTCTTCATATTATCATATTACCAATTCTTTGATGCTTTAGGTCAAACAATTTCATTCAAGTTAGAAAACATCTTTACATTTGACAATTTTTTTGGTAATTCAGTTTTGAATTCAATTTACAACATGCCTTTTTATATGTTTATACACAAGCATTTAACCATACATGTATATAAGTCAATAGAGCACGTACATGTAAGTAGTGATGCAGGGATCCCCAGTTAGATTCTCAGTCCAGCTATACATGTTCCTCATTTCCTGACACAAAAGTATGCCACTTTATGTTCAGTTTTCTGTAGCAGATCTGGCTTGAACTTTCCTGAAATATTTATATGATCTTTGAGAAATCATTGACTTAAGAAAATGCTTCTACATGTATACAATAATACTGTATGTACATTATGGTGTTTACATTAAAAATACAAGGACTAAAAATCATAAATTCAAATTTTTAATACATGTATTATAAAACACCTCCTTTTTACCACCTCCTTGAAAAAAAATTCTAGATTTTCCCTGATACATGTGCAAGTGTAAATTGAAAGGAAAAAATACAAACCAATGGCTATTTTGGAGGTGATGTAAAAAGCACCATTGACATTCCTCTTTCCAGGCAGGTGACACTTGATTTGGTCACATTTTTTCAGCAGAGAAAGCTGAATACACTGTCTAGTCCATAGCTTGCTTCACCTGTAGTATTAAATATTTCTTTTATAATCTATGAATATGATATCTATTTATAATCAGGGCTCCTTTGAGCATTAAAAAAATACATACATAAATTTATTACATGTACATAAATATTACAAAAGGCTAAAAAAATAGTCTTGTTTCCTGCTACCAGACTGACCCTATTTTTTTGTCACTTGATCCTAAAGCTGTTTCTTTTTTTTCAATGCAACTTTTTACAATTTGCATTTTATTTCAAAAAGACAAAAGTTTCACAAATAAATGTCCACTATCATTTATAAAAGGGGTTATAATAATTAAAAAGCACCTGTCATCCAAAGCAGAGAAAGTTTACACATTTCTGCATTTGAACAATTTAAGCAAAATATGTTTTTCCATTTTTTGATCTGAGTAACTAAACACCACCTCCTGTGTTAGGCACAGATAAGTATGATTACTTTACATTTTTTACCAATCCGGCCTTTATCATATTCTGAGATGTCTCATGTCTGGTTTTATTCTTCTATTCTAGAAGTTACAGTCTGGTCATGAAATAAGTTTTAATTTTTAGCTAAATAAAACTACTTTAGGAAGGTAAAAAAATCTATGAAGGTTATTGGTAATTGAAGCTAAATATACTGGTTGTGCCAGACCTGTGCGTAAACAAACAAGCACCATAGGCCTAGTCATGATCGATATACTAAGTCGTAAATATTCACCTTATGTATCTGACACGGACACAACATACAAAAAATCTGTTCTGCAAAAATTTTTCTTCTTCCGTCATACCAATTAACATCTGTAGGGTCATGGTCTTTAAAATGTCTAACCAGAAAACAACATCAGGCACAGATCGATACCGGTGCACCCACGTGGTGCTGCAGTGGTCAGTGGACACTGGACAAGGAGTAGTTTCATCAAAATTATGTTCTTGGTCGGTTTCAGTCTCACTTCTATTTTGATTCTCATGAAGATGCTTCAATTTCGAGAACTGTAAAGATTTAATATGTAGGGCAAATTTGTCTTTGAAATAGAGGATATTTCTCGATTGCTTCGTCGGCCATCTTGTAGCATAGACAATAATGTGTAAATGGGGACTTTTATTTGACGGCGTTGCGGAATCCGGAAAAACAGCACGTGCAAATATGCGAATTCTTTCTATCACGTGATTGCTATCGGTCTCTACCTTAATAGCAACTGTCAGAATGTTGAATATTTCTATCGGTTAATATGTAAGACTCCAAAGTCCGATGGTGACGCCAAACCCCGATGGTCTGCGCAAAACCCCGATGACTCGCTGTCGTTACGGATGCCAAAGTCCGATGGTCACGCCAAAGTCCGATGACTCGTTTCCTATGAGACACGTTGCGCTGAAGTGCGATGGTTTGACACGCAAAGGTCCGATAGTGCAGAGAAAAAATTAACGTTTATGACGTCAAAATAATTCGACGTCAATCACGGACGCCGATGTCCTGAATTCAAAAACCATAATCTCTGAATTCGTCCTCTCAATAAAGTTTATTAATTTTGCTTATTGCTTGCACTTACCGAGATATTAGGATTAGTCCTCGTACACCACTCGATTGATTAGGGTTAATCCTTGCATTGCATAACCCGAGAGATGTAGGGTTAGTCCTCGCATATTAGTTGAGTGATTAGGGTAAATCTTTCACCCACACAAGATATTTTGGTTATTGTTAATACACACTTTTCTGGAGTTTAGGGTTAGTCTCGCTCCTATCTGAGAGATAAGGGTTAGTTTTTGCATTTATTTATACTTGTTTTCAAAACCTTGGCATGGCGCAGCATTGAAGTTTGGCGCAGTGGTACTATGACGTCATAAACGTTAATAGTTTTCCGCACCATCGGACTTTGGCGTGGCAGACCATCAGTTTTTGGCGCATACTATCGGACTTTGGCGTGATCATCGGAATTTGGAGTCCCATCCCACTTTGGAGACCTACAAATATAATACCGGTGTACTGAATTTTGATTTAAACAGCTGCTAAACGTGTTTTGAAAGGTTGCGATTTAATTAATACATGTGTATAATGAAACCGGTGTAATATCCTAGAGATTTCGAGTGGAAAATCCTAATCGAGGCCAATGCGTACGAGATTCATGTACAAAGCGTGAGGGATACGTGCACAAGACATTTTGTGCAGACTTCTGTGTAAACCGTATAGCCTTTCGTGCAAAGTATTTCGTGTATACCTTGTAGCGTATCGTGCAATCCGTGTAGTATTTTGTGTAAACCTTGTACCTTTCGTGCAAACCGTGTACAGAGCGCGTACCGTTCGTGTACCGTGCATGTGGGGTAGTAACACATCTCAGGGTCTGTATCTTACACGTTTTAGATTTTATTTTTACCAAAATGTTTGCATTAATGTCTAATTTTTAAACATATGAATTACACGTATTTTTCTAAGATTTATGGAGGTTGATAATTTTGTAAATGTTGTTGATGTTGTTGTAGAATAATTTTATGGAAGCATTTTTTTTAAAATTACGTGATTGTTTGTAGTTTCTTTCCCTTATTTGCTTTCTTTCTTTGCATTCTTGACCTTTTTGTTTTGATTTGGGGTTTTCAATTTTTCATTAAGTAAATTAAACCATCAGTGTTTTTTTTCTAAAATCAATAAGATGATTCAAAAGTAAATTGTTTAACACGTACTAAAGTACAATCACGATGTCTGTCAGTTAATTATTTTTAACTAATGTTAGAAATTACTCGTTGATCTCTACTACATGTATATTCTAACGCTTCAATTTGATTAAGCGGTGATGAAGCAACATTTCGTGTTGAACACCGTAGCAAAAGTCGGGCATTGCTCTACGAGCAATAAGCCCGGCTAAAAACCGTCTGTTCTCCCAATATAAGTTGTCATGACTACATACTTTACTTTGCATCATCGAAACTCTCATGATTATTTAAATGTTTCTGTTTAACTCAGATGACATCAATTTGCAAAGGCATTTGGAAAATCCAGTCAAAAGTAAATCAAAAAATATTATTTTCAATGCATCCAGGTTATGAAACTAAAAACAAGACACCACAAGTTTGGATTTTCCCCTTAAATGATCTTTTCTTAAAATAAACTCTATAAACTCTGTAAAGGTAAATGAGCTTTTTTAAGCATCAAAACATAAACAAGATGACTCATTAATAATTTAAGATATTTTTATAACATCCCTAGATCAAAGCATCTTAGATACACTGTAAACTTTTATTGCGTCGATTTTATTTCGAGGATTAATTTACCGGTAGTAAGCTAGCTTGCGATCATTAATTTTTGCGACCAAACATTTTTGGGCCTGTTTTAATAGACACGGAGACATTCAGTACCGTTTCGCGGCGACAAATATTCGCTATGACGAGGCCTTTGCGAGCCTCATGAAAATTTCCAGCACAGGAATAAAAGTTTGTTTACAGTATATGTAATTGAAAGGGACAATAATAATGATAATGGTTATAGGTATATGTTTGTATTGAGAGGTCTCTACATATATTCCTTAGTAGTCACAGAGACAACAAACTCAATTCTGGCAAAAGTATACTCCTGCATAAGTCGATTAATCTGTAACAGTTGCGTTTAAGAGATAAATTTCAAATTACTTTTTTTTTTCATTAAAACTTAAAAGTTATGCGTTAAAACATTTTAGAATATTTAAGATAAAGTTTACTATTATAATAGCATTTTTGTTATGGTAACATAAATTAAAACCGATATATGTGATTAATCTGTTTTTGTTTTGTACTAATTGATTATCAAATTCTCTCAGCTTTATATACCTTATCTTTCTTCCATTCTTGTCGCATTATTCGTCTGGAAAATTCATAAATTCAGGCAACTAGAAGATAATTCTTATCAGTTCTTATCCATAATAGGTTGTATTTGTAGGTTTTTGATCTAGAATTTGACTCCTAACAAACTGACTCTTGATGATATATTTGGAGATAATGAACAATATTCACACTTGTCAATAATACACATTTTAAAGAAAAACAAACACGAACCTTCAAATAATCATAAGTATAATCAGGTGCCATACAGAAGTGAGCATCCCTTGCCGACTGATCAAACCCGCTGTGTGACATGCTCCTTGTTATTTTCGGAAAATAGGGGAAAATCTGCGCACAATTTAGTGTGTAAATACTGGCGTAAAATTTAGTATCGAAAACGTTAGACATTTTTTGTCATTTTTTAAGCCTGTAAGTCCCTGTAAGTTTTTTTTCTGAAAGTTTGAAGATCATTAAAGAGTAAATTGTTTCACGTGCACTATGTCTTTCTTTTAATAATTTTTAACTTATTTAAAAATTAATCATTTACATGTTAATATAACAAAAATCTGAAACTATAAAATTATCATTGTTAGAAATAATTTTTTTATAATTTATTAGAAATTGCATCTCATTTTATATTTGATAAGAAATATAACTTTAAAAATAAACGATCATACTTTCATGTATTTAAGTGATAAATAAAGAAAATTGAGAAATAATTTATTTTTAAAGAAAAATCATTTATTTTTAAAAGGTACCTAATCCCTAACCAATTCTGTGCAATTATCAAAGACAAATCATTGGTTTTTCTAAGTTATTTCAAGATTGTATGATAGCATTTTTAAAAATTCTATATTTTACTTATGTCACCTGCTGAGAAGATAATTTTGATTGCCATCTCTATTTCTGTCTGTTTGTCTGCCAATACATCTGCCCATCTATTTCACCTAACAGACTGAGTACTGTTAAAGGCTGGGATTTTAATTGACTCATTTATTGCTTAGAAAATTGGCTTTTGTAAAATCCTTTTCTCGAACTGTGACAATTTTTGCTAAATGCATCATATTAAGTTCTGTTATTCAAATGCTTTGTTTATTTTTAGAGGCAGGTTACTCGAGTAATGCCTATTTAACAAGTGTACTGTTTGTTTTCAGATTTGTTGAAAAAGAACTAGTAGCATGCAGAATTTACACAGTCTGGTCTTGACCTTTGATCAGATTTAAGAATACATAAAAAAGTGGTAATATCTTTTGAATTTTGAGAGGTTTTTGATTCTGCTAACATGCAAATAAGTAAACTTCTGATAATTTCTCAAAAGTATTCATGATAGTAACTTCGTATATTTCAAATTAACCTAGTCGACAGATAATTCATTTTGAGCACAGAAGCAAAATAGAAATTAGTTTAAAAAAATCATATGTGAAGTATACAAGGGTTGTCCTCCCAAAAGTAAAGAGAGAATTCCTATGATGTTTATAAGGGGGTCAACTTGAAATACATGTACATGTATACTGTATCTTGTGAAGGATAACAAAGGTAAGAATTCTTATTCTACTCTGGTTGACCCCCCCCCCCCCGGGGCACCCTTTTCCTTATGTACATAATGTTGAAATGTTATTATGATGCTGAGGAGATTATGAAATATTTTCCTCAAGATCTGTCATGCTCTTTCAAACAAGCGTAATTTGCGTCTCTTTGAACGTCATCTCCCTTTTTTTAATTTTGTCTGTTTTTGAGTATTTAGGGTAAGTTGTAAGCTACATATTAATTGATATAAGTATGTTTAAGTTTTGAACTATAAAACTGGGGTGAGAGAAAGAGATTTTTTTCCAGTATATATATTTTCTTGAAATATTTTGATTTCATTTTAACCAATTATAATAATAATTCAAAAATGAATAATCATTCATGTAAGTTAAAAAAAAGACCCGGCTTATATAAATCAGATTTTCCTAAAGGCAAGTGTTTGTTATTTCAGGGGTTTCACGGGTTTATCCCATATTTTTGGCACCTGACTCCATATATATAATGATTTAATTTGATAAGTTGGAAATTGTGACAGTTATATAATTATTCTGTTGCAACTATTTTCATGATATTATTAGATTTGCAAAGCCTATCGTGATGGATAGTTTGCAAAAATCTTTACTTTGCGATTTGTGTGTATTTTCTATAGAATACCGTGAACTAACTTTCATTCGCGTGCGAGAAATTTTTGCGATATTCGCGAGAGCTCCGTCATTAAAAATATTTCACGACGCGAATCGGCTCTATCGGTGTCTATCAACACAAAGGCTTAGTAGCGAAAATTAATCGTTGCGAACTAGTTAAAACCCCTCCAAGGTAAGTCGTGAAATGAAGTCGTCGCGAATAAAGTTGGTTTACAGTATAGTGAGTAGATG